ACACTGAGGTTCTGTAGGCATTCACTGTGGTGAGAGGGACATAAATGTAAATGGGAGCTCAGAAAATGACTACGCATAAAACATACAACACATTATCTTTGTGAATTATTTGACTCTCCATCATTACGGTCAATGACAAAGTATCTCCTCCCACGGCCAAGGTAGCTGGAGGACAGTGGTGATGGTGGGAAGCGGTAGGTAGTGTCTTATTCACAGGCAGCAACCAAGGACTTCCATCGTAGTTGCCTAGCTGCCATTTTTACTGCATTAAGGACCCAACTCATCTGTGCTCAAGCTGAGTTTCAGAAAATGATCAATGCACGGAGGCAACAGCAGTTCACTTCAATGCACGGGTAGGACTTCGTCAGAGCCAGGGTCAGTGTAATATCTGTTGTGGAGGCCTGTTTACTCATTAATATCAAACTCTGAAAAGGTAATTTTCCTTTTTGTTGGCAAAATCATAGAGATGTAGCCTTGGGGGGTAATAACTGACCTGAATGAGTCAGCTGCAGCTAAGCTCTGTCTGACCCTGCTGCAGGAGCTAACAAAGGACAACTTTGGCACTTAAATTTTAGACAGTGGGATTCTGGAAATACACGACAAAGCACTTAGAAGGGACGCAGCTGGAAGGCAACGTTTTTGGACTTTCAGCTGTGACATTTAAATAATGTTGCCGTCGGGCAGAAACCTCATATCACCATATTTTTTGTTTTACTTTTCATAATTCAACCCTATTGGTCACTGTTTACGTCTCTCTGGGTTTTACAATTATTTAGCCAATTAAAAGTGTTAAAACCAACAATACCGACTTTGACAACATCTATGTTGTAAAAACATTATTTTTTTTATATCCTGAAGAGTAACTAATAAATATGACCCTTTTAAGTTATTCACCTGACTGAAGTATGTTGTGGAGCCCATCCCTCACTGGATATTCATAATAAAATATCAAAATGAACACAGCATAAAACTGAAATGTTTCACAAAGATTCCTCCCTTCAATGTTTTTTTAAACGGCTATAATCAATAGGTCTATACTCTACAGAGCGTTTCAGCATCGGTCACCACAACTTTATTGTTGATTCACTCTCATTGCTCTCACCACTACCTGGTGAACACAGTAGAGACGTGGGCTGCAATACAGCCAGATACTTTTCTCAGGAGTTGGCAGAGAGCAAAAACAGAGCTAAAAGAGACTTCCATTCATCAGGTGGCCAGAATCACGACTCCAAGTGCTAGATGTGTAACTAAACAACTGTTTGCTATAAAGTTTCATCATAAAAGTAATAATACCGTGTTAACAGTTTGTTTCTGTACCCAAAATACTGTACTGTATGTACAGACAGAACATTTTACAGTAAAAACTTAATTTGTCAAATCTTACTGGGGGTCAAACTATGTAAGGAGACATTGCTTCTTAATTACCTCAAACATACCTTTAGCATTTCTCCAAAACACACCAATAACAGTATATTGATGGTAAGCTACTAGTGGCACATATACAGGGGAATATACAGTTACGTCCGTACTTTACTTGAGTATTTTTCAGAGAACTCTTTACTTTTACTCCCTACATTTTTACACAAATATCTGTACTTTCTCTGTACCCCTACATTTTCAAAACAGGCTTGTTACTTTAGTTTTAATGCATCTAAGAGGAATTATGGATTTATTTATTTTTTGCAGCAACGCACACCTTACTGCCATCAACACCAGTCCATATTACACAGGGCAGGCGTGCAACAGACGAGAGGGCGACCTGACCCTGTTTGAAGTTTCAGTTTAGCACAGAAACAGCCGGTAGAAATGTACTTCAGTGAAACCAAGAGAGTACTTTTTACTTTTATATTTTCTTTTACTTGAGTAAAGAATACGTGTACTTATATCAACCCATTCAATTATCAGTAGGCCTGCACCGATCCGATATACTGCATCAGTATCCACAGCGATACTGACCTTTTTCATCCGATCGAGTATCGGCCATGATGTTAATACGTTAGTCCCATAGAAATCATGTTACCTTACATACAATGATGCTAATGTGTGCACAGATATATTTGGGGAAAGCTGGTATAGGAACAGTTCTCAGTATCAGTAGTTATGCTGCATTAGAGTATTGGGAGGAGAATTATCCCTATTCATCAGTCTAGTATATTTAATTAAAAAAAGTATCTCAGACAAACATCTCAACGTCTCCACTGTGACCCGTCTTATGCTGCACAATTACAACACTGATTCCAATAGGATCTCTGAAGGTGCTTGTGGTTGGGTTACTTAATATGCTTCCACAGAGCATGAGCAGCTTAAGGGTCTGAAATTAGCCACAAGGCAAGTGGCGGTGAGGTAGGAGGACTGGCTTCAGTGCCGAAGATCTTATTAGCTCACAACAGCTACAAGAAAGAAAACATGGGGAAGAAGTGTGGCCAAAGCGTTACTGAAACCGCCGCAGGGTTCCTCCGCCCAGATGCCTGTCGATATCTAATCAGTCATAATGTTCACACTCCCAGCTTCCAGCTATATTTGAAATCAAATCTTTTATTTTTGGATGTTCACATTGATGTGCACTTTGGTTTTAAATTTACACATCCAAATGTTTCAGAAAGACAAATATCACTGTCAATATAACTGAACAATAACATTAACCTGAACCACTGTGCCTCGCAGAGCCATTTTATATCAGGGGTGAGATTGTTGAGCGTTGTGCAGCAGTGGTGGAAAAAGTATCCAGATACTCAACTTAATAGTAGCAATACTACAATATAAAATACTCTGTAGTAGTATGAGTGTGAGTAAAAGTCCTGCATTCAAATTTTAGTTACGTAAAAATATTAACAGAAGTATTAACAGAAAAATGTACTTAAAGTATAATTGAAACTTACATATATCAATAAAGTCAATTCAAATACACGTTTTGTATTTTTTAAGATTTTGATTATTATTATAAATGATTTTAAAGCTGTAAGTGGTGGTAATTTTAACTCATTTTAGTTTTACCAACCAAAACTAAAGCTATAAATGTAGTGAAGTACAATATTTTCCTCTGTAAATGTAGTGGAGTAGAAGTATAGAGTAAAAATGAAAAATTAAATTACCTCAGAATTCTACCTAAGTTAATGTACTTCCACTGGCTGGTGTGTGGGGAGCAATGAATGAGTGTTTGGAACAAGGACGCTGCAGAGGGATTATCTCTCTTGGACACTGATGGGGAAACCTGAAGAGGAACCTACAGCTGAAAGGTGGAGTAACAGCAACAGCAGGAGGAGGAGGAGGAGGAGGAGGATAATCTAGGTCTCTTCCTCTGATCAACAGTCCTTTCTCGTTCATTTTTAATCCTCAAGCAAAGCTGCAGGGCTGCTAGTCTTGTCTGCCCTGGGTGGACTGTTCTGAACCCCCCACTGTGCAGCAACCAGGGACTCCCCGATTAAGACACACAGGAACTAGTAAATGGGACTTACTTAAAGTCAATCAGGACGAGTGAATGCAAGTACAATATGTAACAGAAGGGCCGAGCGGTGACAAACTGGCCCTTCGGAGATGTGTGCTGGGTTGTGGGCGAGGGATGTGTGTTCCACCAACCTGGCCATTGTGTGGACAGTAAATCACGATGATTCACTCGTGTTATTCAGAGGCTCTTCACACATAAATGAAAGCCTTGGGGAAATCAGAACTGGCTCCAGGTAGGAGCATCCGACTGTTTAGTACGACAGCTGATGTGTTTGTGAAGTGAATCACCAATTGGGGGGGGTAGAAACACACAGGTCTGCGGTCATGCCGAGCAGCAATGTGTCACAAGATGAGAAGATGATGAAGACAGATTATATTCTAAGTTCACACAAGATGAGGTTGCATATATAACGATAAAAAACCACAATGTGTCTGTTTAATCACCTATGAACAACCAGCTTCCCAGTGTATCTTTAAACCACGCTGACTAGAGGCCATCTTTGCTCAGCTTGACACCAATTTCCAGTCCAAATTTAAAAAAAAAAAACCCAAACATATTCCCCCCAGGGAGACTCCTTCCTTGACACAGCCCCTTCCCCTGAACACAAACAACACCACATTAAATTCCTCTCAGTCAAGGCAGAACGGACGTGTCTTTAGGGGACAAAGACCGGCAGGAAAATGAGAAATATACTATACTCTATTAAATGTGTGATAGCACAGAGCAATCGATCACAAGATTGAGTGCCTAAGACTTGTTTCGGGTCATAAAAAAAAAAGGGTTGGCCGGTTTCCTTTAGGCTTCTCTTTCTGCAGCATAACTTATTCAAAGAGGAGAAGACATGAAGTCAAGCAGCACTAACAGCAGACCAAAATAAACTCTGGAATTTGTCTGCTCTCTGGTCCAAGGGCAACTTCAACCAAAGTGGTCCCTAAACTACACAAACAAGCCAAATGAAACCCCAGTCAACAGTTAAAAAGTATCTCGCCTGTAAGCTCAGACATAATGTTCCTCAGCTGAAGTCTGTTGAGCACAAGTCACATTAAAGTCACCACAGATGGTCTCTTAATTTGGGAGCTGATTTCATCATTTGTATATACAGAAACCAGGCCCTGCTGTCTTTATCAGAGTTGCTGTGTTGTACATAAAACCCTAAATAAATAAATAAATGGCCTGTGGATTGACTGAGTGGAAGAATAAAAACAGCTGCAGTAGTTTCTGAATGAACTGTGACATAAGGGGGGGGGGGTCTGACTTCACACACACATTATTGTGTCTCATGAAGCATTGTTTCCACTCCATGAGCAATTAACTGATGATGGCCCTGACTGCATTTGAATAAATAAATGTCTCTTTCAGGGTGGCTGTAAGTTCAAAAGGCCCTGTCTGTGTCTTGTTTTCTGTCGAGTGATTCTCAGTTAATTCAACAGCTGTCAGTCAGCTTCTCATTTCCGTTCAAAGAGAGGCACAATGTGTCATTGTCTAATTTACAACCCCCGGGTTAGGCTACAAACTTTACTTGCCGCCTGCACGGCTGCGTTATCTTGTTACTCACGTCCCAAGGACTTCCTTGAAGTCAAATATCTTCTTGATATCATCGACATGCTTTTTCCAAGATCCATCGCTGGACTCGCCGTTTTCTTTCGCCATTTCGCACCGGGGGTGGGAGGGCGAAGGGGAGGTGGAGGAGGGTGGGGAGGGGGGAGGAAGGAGGAAGAAAAAGAGGAGACGCTGGCTGCTCTGGAGGATCACCACAGTAGTCTCACCCACCCAGCCAAAAAAAAACAAAAAAGAAAAAGAAAAGTAGCGCACTTCTGTATTTCGCCAAGGGCTTCCTGGCTATTTGTCAGCGCAGACTATCTCTCGCTTCCTCAGCCCATGCATGCAGCCAGGCAAGCCCTATAGGAGGGGAGGTATGTCCTACCACCGAGAGGTTATTTGACTAATCTGTTTGACGTAGCGGATCCCGACTCTGAGCTTCCCCACTGTTCAGATCACTGTGACGGGGGGGGGAAACACAGGCTCTCCCCTTCCTCCTCCTCCTCCTCCTCTTCTCCTCCTCTCCGGGCGGGATTCAGTCAGTGTCGGGCGGTGATGCGATGAGCTCAGGTCGTGCTGCCTGCAGGAGGATGACACTTGGCAGTCGCATCCGAGCTGCTCTGCCATCGAGTCACACCGACCGCCCTGTGGTTGTTATAGCAATAGGAGGAGTGGGAGGTTGCTGCTCCCGCCTATCTATCTGACAGCGTGCACAGGGGAGCGATTTAAGTGTTCGCATTGCACCAAATCACCGGCCCGGTGGAGACTCTGCCGGTCTCATCACTGTCAGGGTCTGCTCCTTGCTGAAATATATGTTGTTGTTTTTTAACATTAAAAGGAAGTTTTGTGTCTGGTTGCTGCATAAATGGATGCTTTCATTTGAACACGTGCTGAAATTTAAAGGCAGGGGCGTAGCTGGGAGTAGTGGGGGCGCGTGCACAGCAGGTGACCCCCCCCATCCCAGAAAACACCGAACATAGACTAGAAAAAACCTTTCAACTAAAAAGTTATTGTGATGTGTTGTGAAGCCTTTTGCGTAATGGTTGTATCTTGGTTTCTCAGAGCCTTCGTAGCAGGAAACTATGGCGGCTCGCCTGGTCGCACACATTCTCATATTACAGATAAACAGTACAGTAAAATATGTTTCTTAAACATTTTTTGGTGAGAAATGGGCAACGCAGTAACAGAATTGATTTCTATTTGATCAGCACTGTCTAGTTTAGCTTTATTGTCTATTTTACTCTAAATTGGACCATAATTTACTAAGTGGACATCATGATGTATGGAAGAATACGTGAAACTAACGATTGAGATCATAAACTTATTAGGAAACTGTTTACTGAACTAATAAATCAAGTGAGAAGTCGGGTAATTCTTCACAAGCCTCCATATTATCAGGGTTTTTTCAGTCCATGGAGCTGCCCCCTGCTGGCCATTACAGAGAATGCATGTTTAAGACACTTGAGCCACTTTGACTTCATTTCACAGATTTGTAAGCCCCATCCACTATATATACTCACATACTGTGCCTCGGTCATGGGCACTGACTGGAGAAATAACTTTATGTATGTGGTTTGTAGATGGGGGAAAACTGGAGCACCTGGAGGAACTCCACATAGAAAGGCCCTGTCCCAGCTCGGAATCACACCCCAATAAAAAGGTCCAGTCCAACCCTTGCTCTCTTGCTCTCTCTCTCTCTGCTACAGTATGTAATTACTGCTGGACCCCATGGGCCCCCATAAGCTTTACCCTTCTTCCCCCAGAGGAAGTTGTGTTAAGTCTGATGAATGACCTCAAGAGACATCACGTTTGTTTCTAATATCTGGGGGTGTAGAGTTAGAAAGAAGCTCAGCTTGAGGCTAACGGCTTGAGGATAAATCAGCTGCCCAAATCCAAATCTCTGTCAGACTGTCAGAGGTTGAGTTGCATTGTGGGTATAATGCAGGCTGCAGGTTTTGACAAAGAAGGGTGTAACAGAAAGACAACACGTGTTTCTGCTGTACTGATTTCAAAAACAGTCCATAAGGAGTCCAACAGTGATGAGTCCCGTAGCTTCAACAGTGGAGCTCATGGTGAGTGACGCGTATTAAACTACATCTAGAATCTAGTCTCTAGATGATCATAAAGCAAACTACTGCACTATCAATATAAAAACACCATTAAGACCTCTTACTTACATAAAGTCAACTCTAACAGCTGTGTCGGCTCTTACACAAGCATGAGATTAGGAGAAAAAGAAACACGATGCAGAAACATGAAAATACATTTATTTGAAAATATTTCCATTTGAATATTTTGGTTTGGTTTATTTACAGTAGCCCTTTAATGCCTTTAATTTATTTTTCAAGTGTTGATTAAACCTTGATTAAATAATAATAATAATGATTGTACTTCTTAGCCCAAACTTGTACCATAAAATGTCCAAACACATCAAACTCCAGGCTGGATAAACATTTAACAGTCAAAATGGTAACAGCTCTCTTTGTTAGTTCAGAAATCCAGTTAAAGGACTCTCATTCATTCATAAATATTTAAAGGACAGGACAATTTAGATTCCTGAAACATGAAGCCTGTACAGGTTTGACACAGGTAAGACACCCGTGCTACAAATATGATGGTCAGCAAAAAGTGCTTCTTTACTATAGTCACATTGTAAACATCGTCTCTAAGGCCTCGATTCAGATCCAAACCACATTAGCACCATAGTGCCGTCTACCTTCACACATGAAGAATACAGACATAATGAATGAGAGGAAGGGGGGAAACAAGCAGTTTTTGCCTTCAACCATAAACATAATAATTAAAACCTGTTTTTGACTACAAGAGTACAATTAACATTATTAACACTATTCTCTTTAATACTTCTATGTTCTTTATATTATTGACTTAACTCCACATCCACATCATCTTAAAAGGTCCCATTCATCCACCGTGCAGCAGTCCTGCACATTTAGCGATGATGGAGGGAAGAACAGCAGATACAGTATGTAGTGTAGTACTGATGCTTGTCTACTGGTTATAGACAGGGGTTAAATTGGGCAGGGGCTCAGCCCCGGCACATAGGTCTACACTCCTCTATGTCAGGGGACACTTTGCACATCTTCAACAATATATATAGTTTTACACTTTCCTCAGGCTTAATAATTCAAACAATGACTCAGTCACTCGACCTCAGTCTGTCAGACAGCACAGATGGCAGAGTAATAAATGGATGGCACCAACATTTTTCACCAGGGGAGAAAAATAGGTCAGAAACTGAATAACAGTAAGTTCCCTCCGATCATTGGTAGCTAACTTTCACATTAAGCTAACTGGCGAGTTAAACTGTCATGCGAGCTAGCACGTATTGAAATCTCTCAGCACTGTCAGGAATATTAATAACACTGCGGCTGGGTAATGCAGGCTAGTTTGACAGTTTCCTAGCGATAACATTAATTAATGAAAACGAACTAGCTTATTTAATTTTAGTTTATTAAGCTTTTTTACACTCTATTTTCATTTAGATAATGTGTGCATGTTGCATATTTGATCTAGAATTACTTTAATTAACATTTTAGTGTGCAGAGCAGAGGGTTGTCTCACCTAGTTATATTTTATTTACCATTTGTCAAATGATTATGTAGTCTGTGGCAACCCTAAAACCACAGAGCACCCCCCACATAACAAATCCCAATTTAACCCCTGGTCAAATGGTTCCCAGTCTTGGAGAAACTTAAGAGAAGGTAGCGGTGAGGATGGCCTCTTGTTGTTGGTGATGGAGGGTCCCGATACCAACAGCAGGGGCGGGCAGAGCAGGTCGGCTTACTAACCGGAGCTGAGGAAGAGAGGGGAAACAGTATAATGTGTGTAATATCACCTATCTGTATCATATACACTGTAGGTTGTATTATCTGAAACACTCACCTTGCAGGCCAGCTGTTTCTCGAACCTGGGAGCTACAAAAGACCAGGGACCCATGTTTTGAGGCTCCTCTTGACTCCATGTGAATTCTGGGGAGGATTATAAAAAAGAAGAAGATTATATTAAAAGTAAAAAGAGGACGTGATTCACAGTGACCAAACATGTGACTTTGTATAGTTTAGGAACCTCTTTGGTTAAAGTTCCTCTCCTGTCCTTTGACAACAGAGTGAAGAAATTGCAGATCAAACTCAAACCGGATTCGCTTCAGCTTCAGTGTGTTTGAGGAGGTGAGAACAATAGAACAAAGACCTGAAGTGAAACCTAAACTTGCAGGTTTTGTTCCAGAAGAAAGAAAACCTAATTCAGAATCTCAATGACGTTTGTAACAAACGTACTAAAAGTTCAGCCTTGGAACGTAACTTCACTCAACAGTATTTCATACATAAACAGGAAGTCTACATTAAAAAATTATATAATGTAATTGTTTATTGTTCATAGATATTTTTTCAAAGTGAAATGATTATCTGATTACTGATCTTGTCATGTATGAATATCGCTGTTTTTATCCGTCTTCTATTGTAGTAGATTGAATATTTTTGGGTTCTGACATTTAAGGAACCAAATTGTTAATAGAAAATAATCAGGCGATTAACTGAAAATGAAAATGATAGTGCTGGAGCTTGATTCTTTTTGTTTTTACATGTATTCGACTTAACATCACCGATTAGTTACAATCCTCGCGCTGCTGTGTGGGTAAAACACATTTCAGTTTTTCAGAGAGACAGACGGAGGAAACCCTCAATGAAAGATTGCGCTGCATTACTACAAAGATGAGATGGAACAGCAGCAAGTCCAGAGGTGACTTTAGAATTTGAGTTCAATATGTTAAAACTAGGGCTGCACGATACGGTTAAAAGTTCATATTGTGATTATTTTGATATTGCGACATGATTCATTTCTGCATCACAAATTTAATTTCTGCTGAATTAAAATCATGTTTATGAGAAATTTCTAGGGTCTGTACCAAACAAACATGTTTTTATTACATCGGCAGGACAAGATTTGTAGGCCAGGGCCTCTCTTCAGAACTACAATACCACAATAGATACTCACGTGGTCATGTGATTTCTTTAATAGTTCGATATGATCCGATTCTTTAATTGTGAAAACAGCAAAAATCATCTTCATTAAGTACAAGTAACAAAACACAAAGCGCAAATAAAAGGACGTGCACACTGTTAGCCAGTACTTCCTCATTCTTGGAAAGTCTTGCATGACAAAATGAAGCAATCACAGCTGCAGTCTGGCTTGACATTCAGGTACCGTGGGCGGACAAAATAACAGAAACACAGCACTGAATACCACTCGGGTGAAGCGAATACTTCAGATTTTTGTTTGTCACTGATGCATCAGTGTCTCTTGTTTCTTTAAAAGTTTTTATAACGTTGTCTTGAGGATTCACTAATAAAAGTGGCGACTGTCAGACTGCTGAGTGGCATTCAGCCTACTGTGACTCACTTGTGTAGCTGCTTTTGTAATTGTTTCTCTGCCCGACACTCAAATTAAGACAGCTTTCTCATCGAGTGACTCTGGTCCTACTGAATCTGAAGTGAAGGACTGAACTGCGATGAAGAAATATCACTTCCTTTTAAGCAATGATAAAATGGAAATAACTTTCTGCCGTCAATAAACGTCAGAGGTCATTGCTCACTTTAAATCCCTTTCACCTTTTACAAGAAGACTAAAAACAAAGACATATCTTTTTAAATAATAACAACCTCATCAGGACAAATATATATATATATAGCAAGAATTAAAAGGACATAGGTTCCAACATATGTACTTCCAGTATGCCAGACTAGTGTTATGGGGGCATATTTCTTTATAAAAGCAATGTTAAGAGGATTTGAAGAAACAGTGATGAGCTTTTAGTTTCTCTGCATTTCATTCATATCTGGAACAAACTAAAGCTCCAATTTTAAACTCTGATTGTGTCTGCTTTTTTTTAAAATTACATAATAATAAATAAATAAATAATAAATTACATATTGGGTTTTTATTGCTGCACTTTATCTGCCACATAAGATTTATCCTCTTGCTTATTATTTTGTCTGTATGTTATTTCAATATAAATCACGCATTATCTTTACTATTGTGCTTTATATTGTTTTAATGCATTTTTAAAAAGGTCCAGTGTGTAACATTTAGGAGGATCTATGGGCAGAAATGGAATATAATATTCATAGGTATGTTTTCATTAGTGTATTATCACTGACAATAAGAATTGTTGTGTTCAACCTCTCGTGCATCAGTCACAAAGACTGTGGTATTATGTGATGCAGCGAGGGGAAATCAAATCGTAACATATGCAAAACATAGGAAAAGCATGTTTGGAAAGAGGAACAGTGAACACAAAGAGACTACAGAGCTGAATATATACCTCCGATTGTCTAAAGGAAAAACAAACATAATTGACTTATAATTTATGTCATGTTTATGTAAAAAAAATAATAAAGAAATGTAATAATAATCCCTTTGACCTCTGGGAAGTTGGAATATGCCCTTATCATTTTTTGAAAACATCAATTAATTGATATTTAAATGAATAATAACAGAAATAACATTATGAGTTGTGAGGGTTATTGTAATGTCTGATTTATCCTCTACTGTGTTTCTTCTTTGGTTTTTTCAGTAATATGAAGACCAGGAATATTAATGCAGAAGAATACAGTAAGTCCTTCACACTGAAATGTTCACAACAGGATGAAGTGTTAAATTAAAGTGTTCATTTGTACATAAACCCAAACAAAAAGGACTTTTCCACAATGACTAGACTGAAACAAACGTATAAAGTCAGTAAGCCTGAGAGCAGTGAATACCTTTAGCATTGGGGTATCTTTTGAGCTCCTGCTGCAGGGCCTCTAGTGGGAACGGACATAGTTCCTCCACACGGATGAGTGCTGTGTTCTGATTGGCTGCTGATGTCTCTCGCTGTTTCAGCAGGGCATAGTAATGCTTCCCTGAGCACAGCACCACCTTCTGGACACTGCATGGAGGAAGAAAGACAAAACGATCTAGGTTTAATGTATGTGTGACTTAAATAATGGTTTATAAGTGTCCCTATAAAGTTTTATTGTGTTTTATTAAGGGCTGCAATGATAACCTACGACGCCTTGCAATTTGAGTTATTACTTTATATTTATTTCACCATGCTGAGGCTCACCGCTGCAGAATAAATTGCAATCATTAGAAAAAGACTTTTCACGATCATGTTGTGACTTCTGTACCTGTCTGCTGAGACTGAAGTATCACCCAACACTGGTTTGAAAGACGTTCCTGGTGCCAGCTCAGCCAAACTGGAAACTGCCCCCTGCGAAAAGAACAAACATTATTTAGCCACAATATCTGCGAAAAGAAGTTGGGACTGTTGATTTGTTTCTTCTTTGCAAGGTCTTAAGAGTGCTTACAGAAAACCTGAGCAGTGTCTTGGGTCCAACCACAATGAGGGGTTTGCGGAAATTACGGATCATCTGTCTCCTCAGCAGATGGAAGTACTGAGCAGGAGTGGTGGGATTGACCACGGCCATGTTCACAGTGTCTCCGTCCACACCCTCCTCTTTACTGTCACACATCTAAGAGACAAAATAGGACGAGTTAGCAATAATTTACAATTCAGGTAATGTGTAACACAACCAACTAGAAAGCTGCTGGTAGAGCACGGACATGCAGTTCAGAAACATACAAACTTCTTCAGTCTCTGTAACAGAATATGAATGCAATGATATTCAGCAGCGGAGACTTGCAGGTCCTGATGCCCTGATTCCCACCAGTTAACAAATATAGATAAACTAGTACTTTGAAAACAATACTCCTCTAAAAGAAATGTTCTTTTAAACCCAGGTGTGTTGTTTTGTTAACAATTAAAGCCCTGGTGGCTCGCCTGGTGGAGCTGGTGCCCCATGTGCCGGGGCTGAGTCCTGCACAGGTTTGACCCCGACCTGTGGCCCTTTGCTGTGTGTCATCCACTTCCTCTCCCACCATTCCTGTCCCTCTTTGGCTATCACTATCAGCTAAATGCAATAAACCACTACACATTCAGAAATGTCTAACACACTAAAATCACTCCTCATGTACGATACAGTGCACGTTATTTACCCTCCGCCATTTTCTAGTATCTTAATTGTGAAATCTTTGCTCTATATAGTGTTCTTAAAAGATCCCATTACATTGTGAAAAGAGCAGCTTCCATGCATGTATTTAAGCTAAGATCCCCAGATTGCAATGAATCACGTTTATAGATTAAATAATTACCGCTGTCAGTCTGTGATGACTCAAAATGACAGTGATACTTAAGTGTCTGAAATCTCCATTTACTGCTTACAATAGTGTAAAAGAGAGAGTCAATTATATAGGGAGTACTGACTGAGTGAATGGGGGGTGATTTTTGAGATGGCCTCAATCTGATGACTTCCGCCTGCTGATTGCTGGTGGCCAATTAAGAAGCATTATCTCTGTTGATTTGTTATTGATTTTACCTGTTAACAGCCTGTAAAAATGCCCTCTGTGCTCCATCATGTTCTTTTGTACTGAAGAAAGCAGAGCTGTCAGAACCATGACTCTCACCACTGTAATGACGTTTTTTTTCCCCACTATTTTTGCACAAACTTTTTTGCCCTGTAAATTGAAATTTAGTATTTTATCTAATACTACTCAGTTCATTTCTTAATTCCCTGTATGCAGGTGCCATTTTGCTTATTTAGATCTTTGCACCAGCACATAAAGAGAATGTAAGGGCACGCATGCGTACATTTGCTTATTTTCTCTGTTCGGAGTTCAACTTTACTGAACTTTGACCAACCTCAACCAATAGCAAAGACAGACCGTGTGTGTTCCCTGCACTCGCAGGTAAAACTCTTTCCATGTTATGAGTAGTATTACATATCTTGAAGCTACAAATGGACGGCAGGGAAAAGGTAACCTCTGTACTGGCTGAGGTAAACATTAAACCTCAATGAAAACTTCCAAGGGGTTTTTGGTATATCATTAAGCAATACATGATAAATCTGCAGGACTTGAACGTGTGTTACAACTATGTATTTACAACTGGGACAAAATCAGAAGCTGGTAACCTGGTTAACATGAACGTGGCATTACAGTCCCACAGACCTGGAGGAAGCGCTCCATATGGCAGGATGAGTGTTCAGGTCCAGCGCCATCATAGCCGTGAGGCAGCAGGATCACCATCCCATTCTGAAGCAGCCATTTGGCTTCACCTAGGGACACAGCAGTTTCACAACTGATGTACAAAGATTTATACAAAAGTATAAAGATACTGAGAGTGATTGTGGATCTGTTGAAAACACCAGTAGTCAGACCAAAAGTTTACCTCCAGAGATGAACGTATCGAAGATGATCTGCGCACCGTTGAAGAAATCTCCAAACTGAGCCTCCCAGATGGGAAGGAGCTTCGGCTGTGCGATACTCATACCATATTCAAATCCAAGCACCGCTTCCTCCGACAGCGGGCTGTTACACACCTAAACACACACAAAGACATCACAATGCTCCACATGAGAGGAGGAAAATGTCTGATATTTATGGAAGAATTGATGTGTCACAATTTAGACGGATCGGATTATCTGGTTTATAAGGATTTTACCTCCAAGAAAGCGGTCTGCTGAGGGCTGATGTGGTTTAGAGGGATGTACATGTCATTAGTGTCTTGACACACCACCATGGCGTGTCGCTGACTGAATGTGCCTCTTCCAACATCCTGTCCGCTGATTCGAATATTAAAGCCTGTAACAACAATGACTTGAAATCTACAAATCTGTTTCTTGACAGCAAAACAATTTAATGATTCTCTTCTTTCTGCTTGATACTGACCTTGGGAGAGCAAAGAGCCGAAAGCCAAGGCCTCTGCTGTGGACCAGTCCAGTTTGGTCCCATCTTCCAACTTGTGCAACCGAGCCTGAGTTCACAAAGGAGAAGGAAAGAAATCATCAGCTAGCTGCTGCCAGGGTTCCCACTCTTGTTAAGAAATACTTTTCCAGAGTGTTTCCAGGACATTTTCAAGTGGTTTTTCTTGACCATACAAGACAGCACTTGCTTCCAAACGGTCATATACTTTACAGTAAGGCCTAGTATTGAGTCCTATTTTTAATGATGCAGGGTCAATGATGTGGCGTGCTTGGCTGTTCTCACCCCAGCCGAAGTGTTTGTTACAATTAACTTTGCTGTGCATGTATTTAACAACCACAACAACAAATGTGATCATTAATAGGCTGTATGCATGTAGATATGAACATTTACAGCATTTCCAATGGGCTTTTCTGAGAATTCATCTCATGAATCCTGGAAAAAATAGACTGGGTGTCGAAAAGGTCGCTGCAAGTCTGTTCCGCTCTGCTCCACATCTGATAAACCAGCTTTGAAGTGTCATACCACACAGCTTATCCTTCTAACAGTTTAGTTTCAAACTAAATACGCACAAAGGTTAACATAGGCGATCGACAATTACACAACTCCAGGACAACATCAATTATTTCCAGGATATTTGGTCATTTTAATCAAATTCCAGGTGTTTCCATGACTGGAAAACTAGTCTCTGAATTTTTTTCCATGTTTTCCAGGACGCGTGGGAACCTTGAAAAGACGCTTCAATAGAAATGGCGATGGGTGTACCTGTACATGGGTCCTCCCAAGGTGGCTGTGCAGCTGGATTTGCTCAGGGATGTCCACAGATTTTGCGCCTACAAACTGCAGCAGGGGAACAGGGACACCCGTATCCCAGGTGGTGACTTTGGCCTGGGGTTCCACCAGATCCCCCCAGCGACCCTGCAGGTTGGTGGGTGGAGGGCTGTACAGGGTCATGTTGGACAGCTTGTCGTTGAGCATGCCATAGTATTTGGACTTGATCTCGTCACGCTCGACATCGGTCATCAGACCCTCAGAGATCAGCTGGTCTGAGTAAGAGTCGGGGACGCTCTTACGGGATCTGTGAGGATGCAACAGTGTGACAATGTCTGATTATCAACCATTTTTTTTACGATATGCAATCCATAATATATCTGTAGGGGAATAATACTTTTGTTATTTAAACTGTCTATGTTTTACTCAGAGAAAAAAAATCCAATCTCCAAATGGAATTTCAAGACAGACAAGTCACTGTTCCCACTGGCTCCACTAGTGGGCAAATACTTTAGTAAAACTCAGTGACACAAACAAACATTTAAGACTTTAAACTGAACTGCACTGAAGTTACACATAACCAAGGTTTACATTAATCAGAAACCTCCTCTTTGTAGGAACTTTGTCTAGCACACACAGGAGACTTTGGCAAATTACAGGTCATTTCAGAGTTGGCCGTGCACGCCTCGTTAAGATGAAGTATCGCGTAGCCAGATCTATCTCCACTGCTGTGCCAGCTTTGGAGAAAGAAAGGCCTGATTCAAAGGTGGAAAATCATGCAAATTTCCAATATTACCTTTGCCTACAACAGCATTTAGGACAAAACACATATGATTTCATTATGTTTGATGGTGTTCATACAGAGTGGCAAAGAGGCATGGAGATAAACAGTGGGGAATAACATTTCAGGGCCAGTTGACTGTTTCAGTGGTGTGTGTATTTCGCTAATGCAAAGCTCAGCATGTCCAATATCCCTTTCCTTGTTGGGCGGTGGGAAACCTACTGAAGAAATCTGCGCTGCTTGTAGCCTCACGAGCAGGACGCACACTTTTACTTTGTCGGATATTAATGCCTTTCTTCGTCATCTGTGATGTGAAAACATCAAATTTCCACAGTCAGAGAAAGTAAAAGTGTGTGTCCTGCTCATATAGTTTAGTTATAAAGTCGCACAGCACACCACAGAGCATCTCTCCTGCAGGGCTGCCAACGGCGCAGGTCAAACATGCGACTCAGACTGATATAGGAGTTCAGTGTTGAAAAGGCTGTCCTGACCATCCTTTCATCTCGCTGTTAGAGGCTTTACTGTTGCAGTTCCCTGAAGCCTGGTGGGCTCCGCCCTGGGGCAGCAACACACTGGAGGGGCGTCTTTGAGAAGATGAGTCGCAGCCGCAGGGAGAGGGAACGGGGGTCTTGGCAAGGCTCACACTGTGGAGAGTGAGCCTACACGAGGCATGGCATTTCGCAGGACAACCAGCGCCTGTTGAACGTGTCTGTTTTTTGGCGGGTGGGGTTTAGCGGAGTGATATGAGCAGCAGAGTGAGAGAAAGAGGTTTTGCATTCTGTGTGTTTAAACAGTCTTAAGGCTACGATAGGCAAAGTTTTATCCAGGTCAATCCAGTTCATCTGCTTAAGAATCCTGAGAAATATGCTGTATATGCTGCAGTAAGCCTTGAAGTGATGGTGAAAATGTGTTGCGATACAAAGTACATAAAGTACATTTAACTGACCGGATGATCTTGTACATGGCGGGGTTGGTGAAGAAAGGCTCGTCCAGCTCATTGTGGCCCCACTGACGGTAGCAAATCAAGTCGAGGATGATGTCTTTCCTGAAAAGCCGCTGGTACTCCACAGCCAGCCGAGTGGCCCGCAGCACCTCCTCTGCATCATCTCCATTTACATGGATCACAGCACAGTTCACCATCTTACCTGTGATACAAACGTGAGCATTAGTTTTTGATTTTAAAGGTGTGTGTCCTGCTCACATAGTTCAGTTATAAAGTCCCACAGCACACCACAGAGCATCTCTCCTGCAGGGCTGCCAACAGCACAGGTAAAACATGCAACTCAGGCTGACATAGGAGTTCAGTGTGGCGCTGAACTTAAAAAAGACAGAAATGGTTGAATCTTTGTATTAAGCAGCCAAAAGGACAGGAATAATAGCCACTGAGTAATGTACAAATTCTGAATAAGGTGCAGCTCAATAGTGTATATTTTCATACAGAGCGAGAAAGTGAGACCCAATCAGAAGTGGTCACTGGAGACGAATTTTAATGCCAGGTGTAAACTGACATGCTTAGATTTTCCAACTTGTGATCGGATCACCCAAGAAAGATTGATACCAGGTCTAAACAGCGCCTCCGCTTCCTAAGATAGTAGCAAATATCGATTATATTGATACGGATGCTTTTTACAAGTTTGACTCACCGACATCACTACAGTAGAGGGATGATCTCGCCCTCTCGGACGGGGTGGTGTAACCCACTTGGTTGTTCACAATGAGGTGGATGCTCCCACCGACTCTGTAGTGAGGGAGGTTTGAAAGGGTCAAAGTTTCTGGCACAATCCCTTGGCCAGTGAAAGAGCCATCACCATGGACCTGTGGAGAAGAGGACCGACATTGTCTTGAAGTTTCAGTTATATAGAAATAGAAGTTTATATATACATTTAAAACATTAATATAGCAGAGAGTAGAGTCTGAGTTAATGAATCTAGAGGTATCACCCAAAGTTACAGTCGGTTTAGTACCAAATTTCCTCTGTTTCAATGTTCATATGAGCACCTGACAATTTAAAGAGACTTAAAAACTGTGAACCTATCCTTTAAAATGCCTGGCTCTGGGTCCACACCAATAAAAGATTATTCAAAATGTATTAAGTTGCTCTTCTTAGCTGCATGTGTGCATCAATTGTTGTGAACCAGTACCTGCAGACAGACGACTCGGTCCCCCGGCTGGGCGTTGTCTTCAGGTGAGTAGTCTCCTTCCTTCTTGAGCTGCTGCCTGGCTCTCGTTTTGCCCTGAGCCACGGGGTTGATCGCTTCCAGGTGAGACGGGTTGGGCAGCATGGTCACATGAAGAGTGTGTTTAGCTCCAAAATCCAGTTCCACTGAGGAGGTGAGGTGAGAGAGGACGTCACCAATAGCAGGCGAGGTGTCGGGGAACTCGCTGAGGCCACGCATCTTACGGAACATGAGCTAGAGAGGAAAACAGTGTTTGTCAAGACGTTATCTTCCTCTGGTTGGCTGTTTGGCAGCCGGCCGTGACTTTCTGTTTACTTGTGCTGCTGATTACAGTAGAGCAAAATCAAACAATCTAATCTTGTTATCAGGTCAAGGATCATTTCAAAGTATACATGTCTCATTAAATGCGGCTGTCTCGGGCTAATTAACCTCTGGTGGGAACTTCAGTAGGCCCGTCAGGAGGTTGAGTCGGCCTCTGTGCGGCATGCCGATGACAATGTCAGTGACTCCGCTGTGGGCAAACTGGTAGAAGAGCTCGTAGAAGAAGCCCATCATGCTCTCTGCTCCTTCTCCTCCGTAACGTTTCACAGTAGCAAACTTGGTGGCCAGAAAGTGGTCAAATTCCTACAGGTTGTGAGAGAAAATATATGACTTTATCATACAAAACATGATAAATAATATAGTATATTTTTTGCATTGAATATGGGTGTTATTCTCCTCTTTTGGACCCACCTCAGATTCAAGCATAATCTTGGCCAGCTGCCTCCTCTCCTCAGCGGAGAAACTCTTCTTCTTGAGCTCCTCAAAGCGGTCAGCGAACCACTCCCTCTCCTCTAGACTGCTCAGCTGGTCGGTCTCCACCGACAGGCGGCCACAGTAGGCTTCTTCCAGGTAGGCCTGAACCTCTTCCACTGAAGCCTCTGCTTTGCCGAAATGTCGTAGACCTGCAGATGCACATCGAACGAGCAGTGACAACATCGACATGTGAGGTTTTAACTGATCGTGTCTGGTGATTTTCATATTTTAGTTATGTTTGTTTCAGTCCTGTGCCGCTTTTTTTGACTCCAGTCTTATCTAATGAAGATTATTTTATACCTGATGTTAATGAAATTAAGTAGCTGGACTTCTATTCTAACATCAGTTAAAAAGTAAAACCATCCTCCAACCCTTTCCTTCCTTAGGTTTATAAAACAATAAAATGTACCGGTAGATAAAATTTTTTATTTTTACTGTGATAATTTCCATTGCAAACACTATAAAGGAATATTAATAAGTATGACAACAAATAAAAAAATAATAAGTATGAAATTAAGAAAAAATAATAGTAATCACGCAAATAATCACAGGTTAAAAGCTCTTTTGATTTCTTGAAAGTGGGGTTAAGAATAAAATGTTTTAAAAAAGGTTTACCAGGTTGGTTTCCTAAGTTTCTCTATATTTTCTATACATTTTCTGTAATTGGCAACAGGAATACAGTAAGTGTATTTATTATTTTTTTATTATTATTTATTATTATTATTATTATTATTGTTTAATGTATTAAGTTAGAGGGAAGAGGACGATTTAAGACTAACTACTTGCATACATTAGTGCACGAGTACTTTTTACAAAGTACATTTAGCTGATAATAACTATTTTACTTACCCATCAGTAAGATTTTGAACTTTTACTTGTACGGGAGTATTTATACATTGTTGTATTGCTACTTTAACTTAATTTAAAGGATCTAAATACAGCTTCTACCACAATCAGTGGAATCATTATCAGTGAAGTTTATACCGCAATGCAAATGAAAAAAGAAGAAGAAGAAAGACTGTTTGGGTACACCTTAACACCTAACAACATTACATAATACCGCATATACATGAGGAACAAAACATGCTAGACATTGTCATTAGGGCTGCAAAGTATATCAGATTATTATCAAACCCGCAATATGGTGCAATGTCTAAATCACAGAAGCTAAAATAAGTAACAAACCAGCATTATAAGTGTGCTGCAGAGAGGCCCTGGCCTACAAATCTTACGTAAGAAAACAAAAAAATTTCACATCAGGATGATTCAGGACATTTCAGTGAAAAAATATGATGCAATAATGACCAATCACAATATGATTTATTTGGGGGGGGTTACCATTATGTGCAGGCTGAATTGTCATTATACCAACCACATGCTTCCTGCACGTTTCCACCCACAGCTGACATTTACCTGAGGTGTTGAGCTGTCCCGTGAGGGTGCCCCTCAGCACGTCTATCTCCGGGACGCTGTCAGCAACGGGCTTTTGGGGCAGCAAGGGGTTAATTTTAGCAGCCTTGTGTCCATGTGCTCTGTAAGCCTCCACCAGACGGGCAAGACCATGATCTGAGCACACAAAGCACAACAACAGTCAACAGGTGAACCATCCTAACACCACATGACAGCTTCAAGCGTCCGCAAATGGCAGCAAAGACATCCTCTGACAACTTCATTAAAGTATTTAACACAATATACAACTGGAATAAAATAAGCTTGCAAACAAAGAGTCCTCGTCTCCCGATGTGGGTGAAGTTAGGTTGTCTGTACTGAGAGTTAACCCCATACTGACCTTGATTTAGTGCCGCGATGCGGTCGCTCTGCAACTTGTGCTGGCTCTCGGTGTTTTTGGGTCGGTATCCGTAGACACCTCTCTCGGTGTGGTAGCAGCAGCCGACAACCTGCCGAGCGACCCGGGGCGGCAGTCTGCTCAGCGACTTGCTCAGGAAAAGCACGGCCGACATGTTTTTTTTTTTCTTTTAAAGAGTAATAATGGTTTTAATCTAGAAGCGGCGCACACCAACAGCTACAGGACAGCCGCCATACTGCCGACAGAGGGACGTTGTGGGAGGAGACGCCGCATCGGAAGCCCATTGGCTGAGCTTCATGGACTCGTTTCACAACACGGATACGAGCAAACGTTTCACTTTTAGTTTTTTGTTGTTGTTGTTGTTGTTGTTGTTGTTAAAGGTTTATAAAGGTTTATATTTGCAGCACAAGAGGGTTCATTTTGTAGCGTTGTGTTTAAAACGAGCTTGAAAATGTTCGAAGTCACTTGAAGTGGTCTTAGTGACGTAGCGCAACAAGTGTCAAGCGACAAGCATTGTGCTGCGTTCATGGCCGCCTTGTAAATTCCAAAACTCCACGTTTGAAAGGTATAAATTAGAGTTCCTCTATAACCTAATTACTGTGATGTATTTGTCTCATACTGGGGTTTGTATGTGTATTTGATTCATAAGACAGCAGTCATTTGAATTCCCTCAGAGTAAATGGGCTGGAAGTGATCACTACTTGATGTTGTGTTGGTTTCTCTTTGTACACCTCTCTCCTTCTCTGGGACTAATGATAAGTAACCCTTAACACAAAGCTAACTGTTATACTAATAATATTTGAACTGTGTTGTGTTGCCCCTCTGGGCTTGTTAGTTAAGTTTTATGCTCCTGTGTTCCACTGGAATAAAATAATACAAAATAAAATTGAAAGAAAGAAAGGTTTAAATCAGGATTTCAAACGGGCTTTGATTCGTCAGCATAAATTCAATCTGAGTTCACACAACTGAGACCTTAGACTCAAATGTTAACTGCAGCTGTGTAAATGCCTTATTAACTGTAAGAGCTGAGCCGAACCCAACAGACCTTTTTCACAGCAGCCGTTTGGACATAAAATAGTTAGGTAGATACAGGTGATACCAATGATACTCCATTCAAACAGAGTCAGGGTGCATGTTATCTTACTGGGAGGGCTCTAAATGAAGCAGAACCTTAATTAGTATAATTTGTGACACATGTGTGTGTTTGTCCTACTGTTTCATGTCAAAATGGCTGCTGTGAAAAAAAGGTCTATTTTCAGTACCCAATATTATCTACCTGTGCAGCTGCTGTTATTGTACTGCTCACTTGGTAGGTTTTTAAAGTTTTGGTTAGTAATAGAAGGGTTAGGCCTATAGCTGTTTAACAACTCAGTATATTTATAAACAATATTTTGTACTTTAGTAACTTCACTGAACTCCAAGAATTTAACCATACTGAAAATGTATTGTGTAGTTTCTTTCACTCAGGTGATCACCCAGAATGCCTTGGCATTTTTAAATTCTTCAGTGCCAAGATGTACAACCAAAGTCGCACAGCAGACCGAGACAACATGTCTGGTCTCCTGCATGATCTCAACCACTGGGTGGAGATATTCACTGCATTTCCCTATAGAAGAGATAATCCAGAAGCATTTGCTCTCATGAAGTCCTAAATTACTTTATATTGCTGTTAGACGTCATGTCTTAATTTGGGGGAGGAAACTCTTGAGGTGAATTTGTCATAAGGATGAAGAGTAAAAGAAGAGGAATGACTGTTTTAATATTAACTCATTGTTTAATGTGACTCAGTCTGTGAACTGTGGTCAATCCATATAATCTGATGATCATAAAACATTTTACACAAACATTATTCCCTGTTTCAAGGGGTCATACTGTACATTATTAAATTAATTAATATTTAATTATTAATTAGCAAGGTGATCTCATTGCAGCTTTAATAAATAATAACATCAAAATGTGTTTTGATTATTGAGATCATGGAAACAACTTCATTGTCTTTCCATGTAATCCTCTTAAAGGACAATTCAACACAAAAATATTCATTTTTATTAAAGATAGTTTTCACATTCTGGCTGTTTTCTAGAACCAATTCGTTGGTTTAAAAAGTGAGGCGAGGTTCTCTTTGTCCCGGTAGAAATAACTCACTCTATTATACTGATATCACTATGCTGCTAACGCTTCATTCTCTCTACATACAGTTGGTCTAAGTTCATTCTCACGGTGCTATAGAAGGGCACTCTGGGAAATCAGGTAGCTGAGGCAGGTAAATATGCTTTCACTTTATAATAACCTCAGGAAGATGCAGAACATTGGAGACTGACTTATAAATAAGTGTAAAAGGACCTCAGTCTTTCCTGAGTTGGAGGATCTGTCGCCACTTTAACAAGTTCATGCCTGATGGTGTGAAACCAATCAGTGAAGTCTATGCTCTCAGCAAGCTTCACCCCCTCATTCAAATAATGGAGGATTTTCTGGGGTTATTTTCTGGTTTTTAGAAGTTTTATATGGAGTAGGAACGCAAATAATAATTGAAGTCCAAATTCAAATTCAAATTGCTTGTTTTGTCCAACCAAATATTTTCAGTGTGCAATGATATAAAACACAGCTCATTAAGAAACTGGAACCATCCAACGTTTGGGACCCTGATCTTGATAAATTACTCAAACATTCAGGGATGCACCTTGTGATTATTTCCAGGTTAACATCCAATACCAAAAGAGCCATTATGGACTATTTTACTAATGCTATGGAGTCTAAACTAAAAGGTGTTTACTATTAATTAAATTTTATATTGACATTTTCACACAAATGTTCATTTGTGTAAACACATTCACAGATGTGTAACAGACCCCATTAACCTGTAGAATGGCATTTTATAATTGAAACCCAAAATAATCACCTATAAACACCCCCACCAGCCCTTCACACACCTGGGAGTCAACATCAAGGGGTTACATAAACCTGCTTTTCCCTCCCTCTGTTACTGCTCAGAAATAAGCAAAGAGAAGCACAACGAAGAGAAACAAATTAGCGAGACATGACACACTAGGGGAGGGAGGGGTGGATTGTAAAATGTCTTTACAACACTGGACAAGCACAACACACAAAGACACACAGTCCATATTAGGGGATATGGTTTAATTTGGAGACAGAGGCAAAGAAACACACCACACATGAACAAACATTGACCAAAAAAGAACACAGAGTCTTTCGGCTACACACTCCGCTATGGGAAAAAACGGAAAACTCTACACAGGTAAAAAGCAAGGCTCAAACTAAACAGATAGTTAACTCTTCAACTAAGACAATTATCCACACAAAGTTGTTGAAATCCTGATGACCAATAAACTATGTGGACAGCACAAATACTACCATGAAACTTACCACGATTTAGAGGATCCCAACCCCCCCCTCCCCCCAAAAAACAACCAAAAAACGAAAACTGATTAACGAAGTGAGGGACACGTAGAGATTTAAGTAAAATCTAAATCAGGCATCTTTTTAGAGACAAAAAACAAAACAAAAAAAATTGCTTGACACCACCAAGAGGCCAAACTCAAGACCTGGTCAAGGCGAGGCCACATTGAGAGGCCAGACAATTTTTTTCCAATATAGATTTTTTTTTCTTTAATTTCCAATATAAAAAGCTTCACTGGTACAAAATACATATGAACAACCAGTTGTAGAAATTGGAAAGCGTGTGTATGTCTTTTTTTTTTTTTTTTTCCTTTTTCAAATCCCACCCAGTTTCAAAAAATTGATATTAACTGAACAGAAAAACTACTGTATGTATAATACAGATCACATCAAGATGCACCCACTTTGGCTTTCATCAAGACAAGATAAAACATCTATTAAATTATTGGTGGAACATGAACAAAGTCCTACCGATTATCAGACAAGAAAATAACACAAGAAAAGATTTTTTTTTTTTCTCCTCTTTTCTTTTGGATCAAGACAATATCTATAGAGATGCAAAGCTACCACACTGTCAAAAAATAGCACTTCAGAATATGAAAACACAGAACAAAGAAAGTGATTGTTAGAGCCTGAATGGGATTTGTGATGGAAGCCCCTGAAGTGAGTCAAGTTCCTGTTGGGACCGCTGTGGACTGTACATTGTGCTTTTTTTTTCTCTTTTGTTTTATTATTCATTCACAGTAACACTTAACCATACACTGCAAATCTCCACAGATCTGCAATTATTTCAGTGTTTGACATACAATTTTATCATTTAAAGATCTTATTAACATGGCACCCAAGTCGTCTGTTCTTGCTTGAGGGTTAGCTTTGTTTATGACTTTCGTTTGTATCGCAAAGTGTTACAGTACACGTTCACACTTACTAAGAAAGAGGTTTAACCTTCAAATGTATAGGGAAGTTTATTGTTTATCTACAACTGTTTAACCAACTGTTCAAATTGAATACATCACAATACACATTTACCAATAACTCAACACACAGAGTGTGTGTGTGGGGGGGATCAGGGAAGGGGGGGGGGGACATGAGCGGGTGACAAGAGCTTTCATGACACTGGCATAAATAGACAAAAAAAGGCTAACTGCAGCAATCTCTAAACCAAGGCCTAATAAGGATGTGTAGGCAGTTTCTAGACGTATATATGGCACTTTGAATATTGTATTGCATTTGGATAGAAAAAACACACTGTAAAAAGCACATGCCCATATTAAAAAGTGAAATCAGTGGTACCTTGAAAATGTTGGGATTATAATCACACACACACACAACATTCTGCAAAAGTGATTAGCTCCCACAATTGTGCTTAGCGTTTCCTTACAAAACTACAACACTTTCCTCGAGCACTGTTTCAAATTTGGTACCTTATTTTTTTTATTTTTTGGAATATTTATGTATTTTGAGAAGAAAAAAAAAATTAATCTAAACTCAAAAAGAAAAATAGGTCAAATGGTGACAATTGTGCATTTTGTGTCGTAATCATGTGAGTGTGTAGTTTCACACACAAAAAAGCCCCTGAGTTGACAACTCTTTAGCGCCATCAGGTACGCAGTTTTAGGGAACCCTTCTTTGGGGGTGAAGTGGTTGTTATTTTGTAGTACAACAGACAAAATACCACCCCGGTAAAAAAAAGTGTAAACTTTGTGCTGAAAAAATGGAATGTATTTGTAAACCAACACTATTGTGGTGGGTTTAGTAGTATTAATGTTCTGTGCATCGTGTAAAACTGAAACATGATACTAGAAGTCACTTAAAAAGAACAATCAGCTGAAAAAAAGTGAAATTAAAAAAGCAAGCGTGAGTGTGTTTATAAAAATGTGCAGAGACCCACAGGTTGTGTGTTGTGTCCAAGTGATCTCTTCTTCAGGGGCTCCCACATTTGCAACCACAGAAAGTGTTTTGTGTGTCGCAGTGTGTGCATGTGTGTAAAGAAAACTAGGTAATATTACAGGAAAGTATGTTGTGTGAATTCAAAAACACTGAGTTTGACATATGGGCACTTTAACGACAAAGAAAACCCCCCAAAAAAGACATTGTCTGGCATCTGTATGATTAACAGACATTGTAAATCATCATCTTTCAACATGATGCATCCAAACTAAACCAAAGTGAAACATCCATTAATTAAATTATTAATGAGAAATTCACAGAAAGTCAACAAGACGTACCGTGGAAGTTGAACACTAAACTTTTCTTTAAACGCAGGAAAAAAGAAAATAAATCTACACTGTGACCTTTAAAAAAGTACTTTTTTCCCCCAGAAATTTAAATTACAATTAATGCAGAGGAATTTTTTGACTTAAAGTGTGTTTTGAATTAATGACCCCCAAACGGTCACACTGATCAACTGATTTTTAGTCCTCTTTAAAAATGCAATACACTGAAGACCCCCCCTGACACAGATGACATTACAACATAATCTACAAAAAACCCAAAGTTTTGCCTGGGTTCTGTTAGTTAAACTTCTATAGATTCAATGGTATAAAATATAGGTAATCTAAGTGTGCATTTAAACCACAGATTGTCTATTTGTGAATCAGTTCTAAAAAAGTTGACTCATGTAGGTAGTCATTTCTCTAAACAGAGCAAATGTACCTTTTATTGTGCCATCAATAGTTCAAAAAAAGGTAAATACACAGGGTATTTTTGTAAATGAAAAGAATATATATTTTTAAATAGTCTTGGTGTAAATCTTCACACTGCCCGCAAAATGTAGAGATCATTACAGAGCACTGAGAGGGGTTTTACTGATCAGACTTTCAAAAGTGTTGGAAAGTGGTCTGTAGCATGTTTTTTTTTTTTCTTTTAAGAAGCCAACATATTGCTAATGGCACCAAATAGCACAGATGTGTGCCAATCCCTGTATTCAACTTTCAAGTGAACTTTACTGAGAGAGGTAAAAAGAAAGCAACATAAAAAAAAAACAAAGCTAAATTAAAAATAAGAAAATCCCACAGGTTTTTAAAACATTCGCAAAAAACAAAACAAAAAAAGGTCTCTTAAATGAATTCAACGCAGGTACGTTTTCACATTGATTTGCTTGACCTCTCTCCCACCTATCACATTTCTATACAGAAAAAACAAAAAATGAATATACATGCAGAAAAATCAGGTTGAGCTAAGGTCAAGGGTCAGTGGGTGGCCAGGTATTGGTCAGGCGAGCTTAGAGAGACATCACAGACAATGGTGGGATGATGAGGCCAGGAGTTTGGCTTGGCTTTCAACATCATGAAGACATGCTAGGCTAATGATGAGCAAACAGGCATGGAGATTTGTTCTAAAAAAGGAACAAAAACACGAAAGGAAGGGAGAGAGAGAGACAAAGAGAGAGAGAAAGAAGACAAAGAGGAGAAGAGAAAGTTAGGGGCACAGCACAAGAATCGTTTAGCCATGAGGCACAAAAACAACAAAAACAATGCCAATCACCACATACAATAAAGGACAGTGCGGTAAACATCCCCCCCCCCTCCTCCCCCGCCCTCTTTACCCCGACACACAAAAACTATACACAGATTTAGGGAAGTGACACCACCAGGACATATGGCAGAGACTCAAACATGCACAAACTGTATACTTGGCACCCAAAGAGATCCATCTAGAGCCAGTCCCTTGTGGGAGGACTTGAGGATGGATGGAATGACTGGAAGAGGTTGTTAATAGAGAAAAGAGAGGTAGCCTAGCTCAACATGGCTTAGATAATGACAGATAACGGGTGGGAGACAAAAAGGTGAGATTGGGGAGCAGAGATAGAAGAATTTTAGAGTGCAAAAGACTTTCACATTAAGAATGACAAACGAACGAGACAGACTACATGTAAAAAGCCAAACACAGGTTGAAGCTCTGGGCTCGGGGTCTATGCGGCCTGGCTTCAGCCCTTCAAAACAACAACTGATCCTTAGTCAACCTGTCTGGCTTGACCTGAAGGCAATGAAATGGCATGGAAACACACCTGATGCTCTCCACTAATTACAGTGACACAAAATACCTCCAGCGAACACTGACTCCAGTGATAGTCATAAATAATCATATACATTAAAATATTTAATCCGACTCAAATTACATGATAAAACCGCAGGAATGAAATACAGTAAAATGTGGAAAGATCATTGCAACCATTTTTTTTTAGGAATAGAGTGAGTCTCCCTCCTGTGGTGGGCTCCTTTCCCCCTGCCCCACTGAGTCTCTGCTGTGGTGACCTTGGCTGGAGGGTGAACTTACCCTAGCAGTGCTAGCATTAGAGCTGGGGAGGGGGGAAGGCCCCGGGGCTAGGATCAGTAGGGTTTGCTGTCGTTCTTGGAGCGCTTCAGCTGAACCTTCAGCCTCTTCATTCCGATCTGGAAACCATTCATGGCCTGGATGGCAGCTTGCGCAGACACAGGATTGTCATAGCTGACGAACCCTGAGAACAAAATGGCGGAGGTTACATACATTTAAAGAGCAACTTAACACTCGGTTTAACACACCCACTTCACATATTGACAAAATGCATTCAACCAAACTACTGCCTGCCACACGCTTGCTCTCTTTTCAAGTTACAGCTCCAAATGAGTTGTGCAGCTATAGTTCTGTGAGTTCTGGGCTGAAGACAGACTGAAGTGCATGGTGCACAAAGCAACATCACACATTTCTCAGATTATTGTTTAGTCTAGAGGGATTTCTCTGAAAAAAGATCTATTGCAATTAATGCTTAAGACTGGGACCTAAAACAGTTGATATATTGACATAAACATTAAGGGATATATTAATAAATTGATGATGAAAGCTGGTTAGGTCATCTATCAAGTTACAACATTTTATATGTGAGGACTAGCTGGACTCAAAATTAAATACATTAATAAATAAAAACATTTATAATTTAAACAGTAATGAGAACAAATCTTGAATCTTTAGTCAATTAAAGTCACAATATTTCTTTGTCAACATTCATGTTTTCACATGGAACTTCATCAAATTAACGACATTTTAAAAGCATCAAAGCCGCAACAAAAAGAATAAACCAAGTGATGTGCAAACATAAAAACACGTTCCTCACTTTTTGTTTTAACCCTGCTGGCAAAATTAACATTATGATGAGGTGAAAGGACTTAAAACGACACAGGTTTGAACTGTACTGGAGACACCTTGAAATGTAACTTGGGACTGTCTCACTTAGACTCTGATAAAACATAAAAATAAAATAAAATTGTGCATAGCTGTTGCTGTAGATCAATATCGGTTCAGCTGTATTTGAATGTGAGGCCAAGGTCTCACTAGGAAATATATGGTGGCACCATGGCAACCTTATATCTGCAACACAACGTAGCAAGTTGGAAAGGAATATCAATATCAATAACACTTACCAAAGCACTTGCTCAGATTGGTCTGTTTGTCAATGAAGACTTTGGCAGAGACCACATTTCCAAAAGGCATAAACATCTGCAGAAGATCCTGGTCCCCAAACTCCTGGGGCAGGTGGTAGATGAACAGGTTGGCGCCCTCTGGCCCTACTCCATTTGGTAAGCAAATCAAAAACTCAAGTTAGATACATATTTAGATTGCAAACACAAATATAATTAGTTAATTGTTGAGTTAATGTTATTTACAAAGTGATGAAAAACAGACTGAAACATATTTGAAGATGTGAATGTGAGAGCATGTTGGTGTGGGCTGAGGAACTACTCACCTTCCTTCTGGCTGCCAGCAATACTCTGCTGCAGGAGAGACTGGCCATAGAGGGAGGGCAGGGCGGAGGCTGTGTACTGCTGCATCCCTGAGTAGGCCTGGGTCAGAGCGTCCATGGAGCTGGCTGCTGACCCGTTGGCCATGGAGCCTCCCAGGCCTCCATTCATGGCCCCCATACCTGAGAAACAGAAACAAGTGAATGTGTTGTACAGTCAGACAATCAAACATTTTACAACTTTTATTATGAGGTTGGTATTTAAAGCAGCATTAAATGTTTTAGCCACCAGGGGGTGCAGAAAAACAAACCTTTACAAAAAACTTGTCATGTTACACTCCCTGCCGACTATATTAGTTACACCTATACAATCTATTACAACCCTGTACAACAGCTCTGTCACATATTCTACCTAAAGTGTACAATAGCCAGTTTCTGTTAATATTTCACTAATAAGTATTAATTCAAAAATATGTTTATTATTGAGGTTTAAATTAGTGGTGATGACAGACAACATTATATTTAAATTTGTTTATTACTTTGTTTATTCTGGGTGCTTTTGCTGTGTGTATCATTCTTGTTTTGCTTTTGCTTGTAAACTTTATAAAGCACTTTGGTTTGCCTTGTGTGTGAAAATCTCTCATGCCTAGACACGTGTCTAATAACCTCCCCGTTCATTTTGTTAAGACCAGTTCAATGGAATGCAAACAACCTCGAGAAAAAAAGTTAATCCTTCAAAACTGAACATTTTTATCCTAGTAAATTTATAGTTGAGCTTTTCTATTAGATTGTATTAGATTAGTGCACCTAATAAACTGGCCACTGAGTGTATGTTTAACTTGATGTTTAACTAAATCTGTCATAATTATACTCATATTTTTTTTTATATATATATATATATATATATATATATATATATATATATATATATATATATATATATATATATATATATATAAAAATAATATAATATAATACATGTATTTTAATGTTACAATAATAATGACAATATGAACCTGTCATATTTCAATGCAGGCTAATAAAAATAAGGTGCAAATATACATAAGAACTGTTGAGTGAACAGATAAAGCACCAGGATTAATCACGCCTGGCTGTTAGAATAAATCTCCACTGCTCTCATGAAACAGAGTCACGGCTAATTGCAGCCAGGATAAGTGTAAAATGTATCTTTAACTTGGATCTTTTTAAGTCTTTCTGCGTCCTAATGGTTAAAATTCCATAATGCAGAATTGAAGATGAAGTGAAACAGTAACCGTATTAATTTCTTTTACATTTTATCCAGTTTATTCATTCTTACCACTGACGCTGTTGGTGAGAGCGTTGAGGTTGAGGCCCACAGAGGTCCCAGTGAGACTCTGCAGGGTGCCCAGAGATGCCAAGGTGTTCATGGCAGCACCCATGCTGGACCCTGCTGTTGAACCGGCTGTTGAGAGACAATAAATACGACATATGGGTTACCACGGGGGGCACTTGCTCATGTTCAAAACACCACAAATCTCTCTAAACGCCTGGCGTCTTTGCCACAAATTGTTATGGTTATGAGAGGATGACACAGCAGTGAAGGGGCAGTTAAAATCTGTCTCTTAACGAGAAGAGGTCATTACTGCAACAGCAATATGCTAAACTCAGACAGATGGAGCCAATGTATATTTACACAGATTAAAAGGGAAATGGGGGCTCTCATAAAATTTTATATGTGGGTGATTAACTCCCATAAAATAAATGAGGAATGGCTGAGGGCCGTTAGGCAAATAGCAGATGAAGAGGTTTGCAGAGCAGTTGGTAGGTACCATCACAGCAACAGGACAACATGTTAACATGTGTGTTTATATCAACGGGTGAGGTAATACATGTGAAGATAAACACATTTGGCATTTATGACTAAACAAGGTTAAAAATACAGCAAGCAAAACAATATCCTTAAACAAGTACTTTAACTGAACTTAATGAACCATGATAACTAACACTGCCATAGGGTTTGATTCACACTGGGTGCTTAATACTGTATGTATAGTACATGCACATACTACAAATGAATAATAATTACCTGGACTGCCCAGGGCTCCCAGGGCCCCACTGTTTGTAGACAGGGCGCTGGTGGAGGTTGGGCTGCCAGAACTCTGAGCTGTAGCTGCAGCAGCAGCTAATGTGGCCAAGTTCTGCAGCTGAAGGGGATTCACACCTGCAGCGAGAGAGAGAAACAGAGGTGATTATCAAAGACTTCCAAATTTATGCTCAAGTTGTCGCAGATCGTTCCAAAAACTCTTGGAGGGAACAAACTTCTCCAGAATGCATGCATAGAGAATACTTCTCTACAGTTTCAGATGATATGCGTCATTGAGACTATCGATTAAAAGCACATTCCTCTCCTCAGCCTCCTCTATATAACACTGCCAGGATACAATCTGGCATTCTTGCAATCAGTGTTGCTGCTTTTCCATTCACTCTTTTTTTGTCAAGTTACCATCTGACCCATCAACATTATGTCTGAATTTTTTTTTTATTTTTCATCATCATATTTAAGCCATTACATTTGGTTAATTTGGAATTTGTGTACTAAAAATTTGAGGGTTGTATTGGATATGGCATGAGTGGTTTTAGTATAAGACCTGAAATTATATCTCTACATACACAACCACATCCACAATAGTTGTGTGTTGTTTCTTTCTTTAAACATGGAACATTTCTCCTCACAGGTCTATAGCTATAGCCAAGTCGTGGTTATGTGCAGTGTGTTTTGCACAGGCTTAGAATAGCGGCGCTGATTATGAATGTGCCACTGATCTGAAACAGTAATGTGATTTATTGCAGTTAACACCATGTGGGCGTAGAGCACTGAGTCATAACGTTGGTGACATGCGAAGTGTCAGCTTGTTCAATTATAGAGGATGAACATCTCAAAATCTGAAACGATGGTCTCACCTCCTAGCCTCTGCATACTATTGAAACTGCCTTGGTTACTGGTAGATGTGGCTTGCTGGAGCAACTGTTGAGGACAAAGAAAGAAAGAAAGAGTCAAACAGGGAACACACAATCAGATCTTAAATAATCAACAACATAACTACAACTGTTGTTGAACAACGTATAATGTTACCATTATGCTGTAAATGTGAGGACATATAATGTGAGGTTATAATCTTTGCTTTTGTACACTCATTATTTAATATGTGAAGGCTGGTTCTGCTTGTTTGTTTGAGAAAAAGAATTCATTTAGTGATTTAGGCCCCATTTACACAGGTCATTTAAAGTGTCTTGTGTCTGGATAAAATACTTTCCTTACACTTAGATTTGTAATCTGGCCAACAGAAATGGATTTACATGCAAATAGGGGTTGGCAATCCTCCACGCCAAGAGGAAGTGGTAATGCCCCTGAAGCTGGTTGGTAACTGCCAAAGTGCAGTAGTTATTCTTCTGGCACTTTGTTTACTCACATCAATAACAGTTTAGCTAGCATTAGCTAACAACTACCCATAACTATCCATAACACAAAAATGTGAATGAATCCTATTTATGAAAAAGGGTTAGACTGATCAAGGATCAGACAAAGTACAGCGGCTCAGTGCGCCTTGGATTTGATCATATGTAGCAATGGCTAATATCATTTTAGCTGCCGTTATGACAAGGATAGAGGAGAAAGACAATGGACGTATTAAGAAAATCAGACAGTAAATGGGCTATTGCCACAGCACTCATACGGACGTATTTACACTACATACTATTACAAAAGATTATATATGTGCCTTGGAAAGACGGATGTAATCAACACTCTTTCAACATTTGGCTAAGATGTGACTCAAACCTCTCCCAGAGGTGATTGAGCAATCTGAGTTTTAGCTGTCTTGAACGCTTCTTTGATACATTTAACTTTTTTGACATCGGATATCCATTAAGTTTAAATTTGATCTTTATTAGAGATGCAGCAACAACACAGGGGCAAGGTTTGTACCGAATATTACGGAGTTTTTGCAATAAAGTCCCTCCGTTTCCCTTTATTCTACATGTATTTGGTATGTATGAGTCAGTTCAGTCACTATCTTTTTTTAGTTTTCCTCTCAGAAACAACTGGGCTGTTCATGCTATGTCCAAGTTTAAGTCACGTGACAATTGGCTCCAAATCCTACTCTGAGCCGAAGGTAATCATAGTTCAGGTCTGAATACTGCGCAGCATTTAAAATTGTATTTGCATTCGGCACCATGACATTGTTTTATGTAGGCCTCTGATGAGTTAATCTTTGATAGTTTAAAAACAATTCCAACAAATTTACCGAATGTTTCAGGCCCACAAGACTGTCTGTATTATAGACAAAATGGCTGCTGCATTTCCATCCAAAACAATTAAAGCTGATCAACTGTTTAACAAACAGCAGCAGATAAATGGGATCACTTGACAATGTAATTCAATACATCATATCACGGAGAAAAATCTTGCCCTAGTGAAGCTCATTTTCTGGTTTTGGTTAAAAACCAAGTGGTCTATTCGTACATGAACCTAAATACCGCCAACATTGTATTTCTTCACGTCAAAACGTATATATTTTTTCACACTCGTACTTTGCAAGTCAAGAGGGCCATATACTCAACATATGTCTAAACTATTAATACAGTGCCATATGATAAGACATAAGTTTTTGTGCAGCTCAGCAGGGCGTGTTTGAGCAACACTTACAGCCAGGTACTGCGGTGTGAGTGTCCCCAGGCCGGCCAGGTTTCCCCATGTGGAGGCACTGTTGAGCTGTTGAATCTGCTGTACTAGCTGCTGCTGCAGGCGTCGCTGCTCCTTATCTCGCTGTGTGTCTGCAAACTTCACCACCAAAGGTGAGGAACAGCCCTGAAGCAGTGAAGAGGTCAAAGATGTTAGACGGATTCAGATGCAACCTGAAGAATGAATAGTTTATTTACCAATGCAAGGACCCAGTCATTTTTTTCCCCAAAAAGGGGGGTAATCAGCTATGCCTCAATACAGTTTTTATGCCTGTTGCATTCATATCAAAGCTAACACACAGAAGACATCTGCCATGCATAGCTAAGCCAGGCCACATTCCAAAAGGGGGGGGCACAGGATAATGCTGCAGACAGTGAATCTTTTGAGCACTCTGAGGAGCTGAATCGAGTCCACAGACAAGCAGACAATAGATGGAGACAACACTTAAAACATGACATTCAAATGAGGATATGTCAGCAGACGTTAACAAGAAAAATGCATTACAATACACACAATCTCACAAGCAGACAGTCACATACTGTTCAGACAGACGCATGGACACGAGGCATGCGGTGCAAAAGTATTTTGAGAGTTGAGAGCCGGACAGGGACCAGGCTGGACAGGGAAAATGGCTTCTGAACCAGCAGCACCTCCCATGGCAGCTGAGAATTGGGGAGGTTATGATATGGGGGGAATAGGTGGCACCACCACTGGGGCCTGCGTTTAATCTGGGAGGAGGAGTGTTATGTTTGGTTGGGCTCCTAATTAGACTTGGTCTGATGCTTCACTGGGGAGCCTCTGACCTGCTAGCTGTCAAATTACTGCTGCTCCACTTCCATGAAGATACCATTGGCTACACAATGACATGGACCCAGTTTTTGAAGAAATCTAATAGAGTAGCTGCTCAAGGCTAGGTTAATTCTTTGTTAACCTATATCTGATGGTGTGAGCTTGATTCCCTGTGGTCCAAAATATAGATTGATTATGGCAGACTGGGATGGCTAGGCTCTAAAATATTATCAGAATCAATAAATGAGATGCATTTAGTTCAGCCCAAAATTAGAGATGACAGCAAACCTCGTCATGTCCTGTTAGCTCTGGATTCAGCAGCTATGTGAGAGGCTATGTTTCGAGTTTTATTCAATTATTTTGCAGACGACAATGTAATTTTGTAATTGGCAAGAGTGGTTTTGGAAATGACTCATGCTCTGTAATGAATGGACACCATCTGCTTGGACAGGTTATTCATCCTTCCAACACAAGGGGGCAGCAGAATGTATGAGTGGGGAAGGGGGGAACATGAGAAATAGGTGCTAAGGGGTACAGTACCTCCATAGTCTGAGAGTGATGCATGGTTTTGATTGCATTCTGTGCCATTGCCCTGGTAGCAAATGTGACAAACGCACAGCCTGTAGGGGGGGACAATAGGAGAGGGGGGGTTGGAGGGAGGAGGGGGGGGGGACAAGAAGAAACAAAACAAGACAAAAAGGTTTGGACAACTCGTTATGAACCCCAAAAAAACACATTACAGTACAGAGAATGGCAACTCCCAAGCACACAGAACCACCCTCACTGGTTAGCACACTGAGAAAGAACACAACAAGGAGAACAGGAACACGTGTCACATGAGCACAGTGATCGACAGATTAAATTGCCACCCAAAGAGGCTTGACTATGTGGTGTCATGGTGAAAACAGTCAACGTGATTATATACACACACATAAAATGCAAAACATAAATACACACTGAAAAGGCTTTGATTTGCTAAAATAAGTGAGATCTGCAAACATCAAAGAGTATTACGGTCCATTTCAAATTGGGCTTACACTGCGCAAATTTACTAGGGAAAAAAGAAGGGGTAGAAATTCATGGCCAACTGTCTCTGCTAAGAGGTTTAATCGTATACATCAACGCGAGAGCCTTGTGCTGCCTGCTATCTGAGGCTTTATGCAGTGAGAGCTATGTTGGAGATGCAACGACAGGCTAATTCCAGCCTTTGTAGAGTGTGATGAAGGAGGCGGTAAAGGAGGAGCTGAGCTGAGCCGAGCCGCCTGCCAGCTGAGCCCACGAACACCAGCAGCCAGCGGTTGCCAAGGCGACGGGCCATTGTGCCGGACTGCAAGTGCGGTGGCCCTTCACACTGTGAGATGCGGAGGCTGAGCGTAACAGTGACAAGAGGACAGGACTATGGGGAGGGAATGGGTGCCACTGGAAGTGAATAGCACTTGATTTGGGGGTGGAGGGGGTTAAAATGATGAAGTAGGGAGGGGCCTGTATAAATACTTGATGAGAATGTGTACTCGGCTATGCTGAAGGTGCCGGCTGTGAGGCAAAGAACACTGTGCACTGTGAAAGCACACCTACCTCTGCTCTGACCATCTGGTCCCCGGAGAATTCGGCACTCTTCGATCTGCCCGAAAGACGAGAACATCATTCTGATCTCGTTCTCGCCGTATTTCTTTGAAACCATTCCGATGAAGAGCTTTCTGTCTTCTACCGCTGCAGAAGGATGAAAAAAGAGAACAGCTATTCAGTTAGACACAAACAATTATAGAGCTATGAAAGCGGCAGTTACATCCGGCGTTAAATCATGCACCTCTCTTTTTCTTGTTCAAGCTCTCTCCTTGTCATGCTGCCACATTTTCTGCCTCTCACTCAAGGTGCCAGCCCCTTGGTTCAAATCTCTGCGACTTGCAGCTCTGTTTTCATCTGTATCTACTTCTCTAGACAGATGACTGTATCATCCATTTGTGCTCCCCTCCAGATCCCCTGTACCTGCTCTACTCTTTTCCCCTTGGGGCCTTTTAAAGCCCTTAATCCTCCTAACCCCTGATACTATATCAGGGTTTACGTTAGCCAGCATATGCCAGTATTTGGCTGCGGTCACATGTAGTTGACCGGCAGGTGAAAATATCACTGGCCAAAATGTCCGGTGGGACAAAGACAAATAAATGTATTAATTAATGGCATATTACATAGCCCAATATCGTGTGACCTATAAGATATGTTGCCAAGACAACTTAAATCATGCAAACAATTGGTGGCTTCCACCCTCAATGAGAAATTCACTTTTCTCAACAATCGTTCATTGGATCGACTTCACATTTGGTGGGTATATTTCTGGGGATCCAAGGAAGTGCAATTGGTGCAATTTGGACATGTTCAGGTTCAAAATGAATAAACTTTGAATAAACAGGCCCACAGCGTCTCTACTGCTGGCTGCAGACAGCTGAAGAGACGATCACACAACACAGTAGACGGAGATAAGGAGATGCAGAAATGCTGTTACACGTCTGTTAAAACAGGAGTCGCATTTCAGTGTAGTCGAGAGAGAGCTGTCCTCCATTTCCATCAGTTGTCTCTCTTTTGGTTTAAAAGTAGGCTAATGTATGGTTATTTAAAAACATGTCTGGTAGTTGTTCTAAAATAATTCATTAATGAATATTGGCACTAAATAGATATTGTGTATCACTGCACATTCCCTGAAAGCCAATTCCCTTGGGCTTTCGCATTTTTGTATTAAATAGAGACACAATCAAGCCCCGACTTTCTTTTAAAATTTCAAACTTTTTGTCTTGCTCATGTATGATTTCTCTACCATCCCATCCTTCGGCTGGTGTCAACATGGCATTTCACAGGAATCCACTTACCACTTGTTTTCTCACTGTCAGCGGGTTTCATCTGGATAGGATGATGCATCTGAAATAAAGGGTAGAGAAATGGTTAACACCGCACCTGCCACCATTATAAAACTATGCAGGTGCTCAGCCTTGTAATCTCTCATCACAAGGGTCTCATAGCTTTACACTCGCTCACCGACCCCACCCTCCATCTTCCAAGTATTTCTCTGCTTCTTGTTTTGTTCTCACTCTGAAACCATCATCCTTCACCACTGCCAGATTCAGGAGGATGTGTCTATGAGTTGATGGCAAGGATCTAATTCTCCAGTATCCAATTTCACTTCTCGCTGTATCGTAGACTTTTGATTGAACTGATTGATTGATCGATTCTTCCTGTCAACATCCCTTATCTTCTTTAGAACAATTTTACAGAGATAGTTGACAATCAAGCCAGTTCTGTATTGCTTTCAAATGAACAGTGAGTTTGAGTTTTTGGAGAAATTTCACTCACACTCAAAACACTCTACACACCATTAAATCACATACAAAAACAATAAGGTGTGGCAAATCTAAGCTGTGAAAAAACTAATTTGAGTCAGCCTAACATCTCTGAACATGCCTTTTCTCAAGCTGTGTATGGGAGAAAATGGATGCAGAATTGCTGCAGGATCTGTCATTTCATGCCATTTAATGAGCACTATTGTCCAAGGCGACTCATAGAACTTCAAATGAATATATTTTTAGCACATTTACCTGCCATGCGACACGAAAGAGGGAATAAATCTAACTGAGATGCCTGAGCAGGTTGTACTTATGAAAAGTGGTGGGTTTGTTTTTGACAAGCACTAAAGAGAAGCAGACAGATGGCCTGCTCAGTATGGGTACTGGCTAGCGTTACTGACCAAGGAGAGCAAGGCACAGAAGGGAGAGAAAGCAGGAACAGGGAAACAAGCATTTCCAATGTCACGCAAACCAAACGCAGTCACTTGCAGTAAATGCCAGTAACAATATGACCGGGGATTGGGATTCGAGAGCTGAGCTGTTAGACCACACTTTATTTGAAATGTCTGGCTGATTGATAGTCTTCCAGTGAAGAGCTAGGCCTGTATACTCCGCCTGCTATCCTCATTTATCAACCCGGTTCAATATTTACCTGTAACCTCAACGACGGTGGCTCCTTTTTTAATAGACTGGTATTGACATAATCGACGGTTGGAGTTGTTTGGTATAGATTTAATTGATTGGAACGAGAGTAATTTAGAACGGTGTATAGGCAGGGTAGATTTGTAAAGGTTTAACAAGCAATTGCACTTATTCCAGTTGACTGGGCTTTAATCTCTTTAGATAAATCAGGTAAGGAATTAAGAGACCACATTCACTAGGCTGCATTGTGCAAAAGACTTCAACTTGCTTCCTTTTGTATCTCCAACTTTAGGAAATAAAAATGTAGATGTGCATCAATGATTCATGAAGACAAGCATTAATAATTTGTTCCACTTTGTGGCGATCGGGTCCTGTGCCTCAGTGAATAACCTGCTGCCTGGTCAAGCACATTTTACCTGATACCTGCATCTGTGTGTATGTTGGGTCAGCTGGGTTATCAATTCAGTGTGTTGAGGTTCGGGCAGTCCTCAGTGTGGTGTTAGTGCATAGTGGGGGCTGAGATATTTCTCAGGCCAGACAGGCGTTCAGTGAGCCGGGAGCTCATTATCGGCCAGCACACAGCTCACAGCCTGCACCAGGGATGTAGAGGGGCTCAAGCAGCTAAAAGCAGCCCATACTGTGCTTACTCACCCCACTTAAGGTCTTTATGTTGTGCAGTGCATTCTGGGCCTCCAGTGCGGCTTTTCTTGTATAAAAAGTTACAAAACAGCATCCTGCAGAGAGAGAAAAACAGGGACACACAACAAGCAGGGGGGAAAGGGAGAAGAAAAAAAAAACAGCATTAAAAATGCAGCGCATACAGACAGTAAATGTAATACGACGACTGCTGCAGAGCAGGAATGAAACTAAATGGATGAGAGTATGTTCTCCACACATCACATGTTAGCAACATGTGACAGGCTATTCATAGCACCAACTGTTAGATGCTGAACACAGCTCATGTAAGAGCTTGCAGCGAGGACAGAGGAGTAATGAGATAGTTGAAGGCTGCTGTGTGACATGGCCATAGAGATGACCACAGGGTTAGATAGCTGTCAGGAGGCACTGATGCACAGTCCGCAGGTCAACACAGCCCGGGCACACTGGGGTACAGTACCAACACATCAACACATCAGAGAGAGCGGTGCCGTATTACGTAAGAATCCAATCACATACAAAACGTACACACAGGAGACATGAAAACAGCACAAAGAGACAAGAGGGAGCAGAAGTGAGAGTGAGGAAGAGGAATCATGGGAGGAGAGAGGTGGTGGGGGAGGGGGATGAAGAAAAGAAAAGCGGGGGGAGGGAAAGAAAAAAAAAAGCCTCTCATCCTTCCGTCCCAGCAGACCGCCAGTGGCGTTCCAGCCTGTCAGTTTCACTGGGCTGGGGAAGTGGAGCACTGCAGCGTCTCTGACCTACATAGTGTGTATTATGCTGTTACTGGAGCTCCCAGGCCGCGGGGAGGGCTGTTGAACTCTAATATGCATCGAGCTGCTCTCTTCTCTCTCTCACAACCAGCTGAGCTCTCTTTCTCTGCTGCTTAGCCCTGCCTCCGATTTACTGGAGCTAAATAAACCATCCAGAGAGGCGTGATAGTTATCAGATGATTTTTTTCATGACCTGCAGCAGACGTGACCTAAAAACCACTGCAAATCTGATGGGTCCTCAATAGATCCGTGGCAAAGTAAACAACCAAAATGGAAGTGGGATTACAGCAATTTCAAAGAACAAATCAAACTAAAGCGAGATTGATGACACAAGAAGGGGTTAAGGGTGCTTTATCTGCAATGCACATAAACATGAGCGAGATATCATCAGGCCGTTGTGCTTTGATAAAACTGACCCCACTTCTCCCAGGAGTAGTAGGACTACTGGGAAAGGAGGACGGCAGTGAAATGACGGGCGTGGGGGGTGCTGCTGCTGCAACATATTCACCTCAAACAGTCTGGGTGAGCCAACGACCGCTGTGATCAGGCCAGATTATCTATTAGAATACATTAACATTGCATTAACATGTCAATAGGCCATCACAGCTGACACTCCACATAGAACAGGGGCGGCTTCTGCTAAAAAAAAAAAAAAGGGGGTGCTTTGAACTCTTCAGCTTCCCAATGAACTGCACAGTGTTGGCTGTATATTTACGTGCAGCATAATAAGCACCCTGGAGATTTTCTGGTAAATCTTTGAACACATTCAGGATTGCTTGGTGACGTTAGTTGTGTGTACATCCTTGTTTAAAGATCATGTGAATCAACTGCTGTCCTGGTGACACAGTGTGTTGCCTTTAGGGCCCTAACACACTAAAGGCTCTTTCTGACCAAACAATCTGAGGAGTGAGGAGCTCTGGGAACTAAATAGAGATTGAAATCAGAAGGTAGAGGTTCCTTTTTACGCATTCCATGAAGATTAAACAAATTACACAGCTAACCAGTTTAAAAGGCAACTTTATTTAAGATACGTTTTTTGCTCGTGTTCTTTTTATTTTACTGCTCAACGACTGACATTTGAATAGATGCTAGGAATGAAGATAGAAAGCACCAGCATGGTAAGATTTCTGTCTCCAAGTAGAAGCTTTGTTGTCTTTCACTCGTAAAAAAGAAAGGGTGGGTAAAAAACAAGGAGAGACTGCGATAAATAGGTAAAATCACAGATTCACTACACTCAACAACTTGTCAGGCAAAACTACCTCTCAAGACTTCAAACCCAGTCAGTGGAAAAGCAGCTTATAAAAAAGGGCCAAATAACGCCAATGGTTTCGGATACACTTCAAAAACTACGGGTGACAGTTGGCCACCTTTAATGATAGCCAAACCCCTCTGGATGGCTTGGTGTGGCCACCAAACATACTCTACTTAAGACACAAAGTCAAGCATCAAACAGGGTCCCACCACATTAAAACCGTAGAGAGGATTAGTGCCTTTAACCATGGTGAGTCATCCAACAATCAAGGGAATTGAAATTTGGGTGATGTCGCAAACCCAGGACAGTTACATCAGGAAAACTGTCTTTTACTTTATTCACCTGCAGTTAGTTACGGGAGACTGAGCACTTCCAGTTGCACTTTAGAAACCTGCAGACAGCAGGCTTCTACTTCACCGTCTCTTCTAATTGCAACCTCAACTGAATCGCTCAACTCGAGCACCATTTCTAAGGTAAGCGCATCGATAAAAGTCTTAATGGAAAATTGCAGTTGAGTAACACTTCCTTCAATGTTGCTTTTAAACCAGAATGACAAAGTAAAAAAAAGAAATCCATAAAGCAGGGTTATGGGGAAAAAAAGTGGTTATTTTTTTTAACCCTAAAACAAAAAGACTATTGAATTATCTCATCTGTAAGCACACACACAGCTGCACTGTGTGCGCAGACAAGCCATGGTGTGCACTGCCTAAGGGGGATGTGCTGAAATGTGATGGTAGATGATGGGGCACTAACAGTTTTGTGTACAGTGCTGGACCACTAAAAGCCAGAGGACAAAAAGGTGGCCATATAAAGGTCTAAGTTTATGGCCACTGGAAGGTAACCAACTTATATTTAGATTCAGCGATTCATGATTATAACAAACAATTTAATTAACAATTCATGTTTTAAATGAAAAATAAATTACTGACACCAAAAAGTTTTATCCCAGTTGCAAGACCTCAAAGTGTCTTAAAACTGTAAATACCAAATAAACATCAGTTCCTATAATATAAAATGGTAAAAACGCAAGCAACCGTACAAAATAATGATTATCAATTGCAAATCAGTGTATTTGGTGTAACTGGTTAATGTTTTGGATCAATTCAACACACTCAACACTATATTTAAAAAAAAAAAAAAAAAAAAAAAAATCTGTTGTTCAGCATTCAACAACCTCTCTGGCATGGTTGAACAAACAATCCTTAAAATCATTTTGTGTCCTGAACTTACCTTTGCTCTGAGGGGGATTCTGGGTGCGATCACGGAGGATGTTGATCTGGTGCACAGCTCCAAAGGGCTCAAAAAGCTCTTTTAGTTCTGTTTCCGACCAGGAGCGTGGGATCTGTCCCACAAACATCTTGATGGAGTCTGGGTCTGGCTGGTCCAAGTGCTCCAGGGACCCGTTCATTTTGCTTCCGTTGCCGTTGCTAAGAGAAACAACAACAAAAAATCTGTTATTAGTGAACTAGGATCTAAACAAAATCGATTTTTAAAGAGTAAGCACTTTCTGTTGAAAACCTATGTATATTTAGTAGTGCCGTTGATTGAATCAGGTTAGTACAAAATATTTAAAAATTCTACATATTGTGCTATAAATATGCATAGTGACCATCCTCTACTGGTGGAAATTTGACTATTGCAGTCGAATTTTGCCATTTGCTGATCACCAACCAAGCCCCACCTCCAGAAGCCCTCCTATAAAACCTCTCCCGACTCTGCAGACTGTAGCTTGCTATGTAGCCGTCGCCTGACATCCCGCCACAGACACTGCAGTGTTAGCCTCTTTGAGCCGCTAGTTGAGCTAACCTTTCAACACAGGTAACGCACAGAATTTTTTACCAATGACTAAGTGTGCTTCTAGTGACTGAAAAAGCTCCAGCGGACTCCGTTTCCAGCATGAGCTGCTTATGGTTTGTTCGCTCATTTAGCTCCGACTACCAGCAGCTGTACTCCTGCTACTCTGAGTGGCAGTAAGTCAGTCGCCCTGGCCGATGTTACCTCCCGCGCCACAAGGCCACTGTGGGGCTCCTTGACATGAAAAAGTTTTGAAACCATTGAATTAGGCAATAAGGATTACAGGATGACTCAACACCTTGATATCAAAGTGGTAATACTTAAGATCTGTCACTTTTGCAAAATATCTATCTAAATTGGAGGTCAGTAACATAGTATTTAAGAAACGATTATTTCACTTTGGTAAAGCCATTGTTAAAATGTCTAACGTGTAACTAAAAGGCTTTAAAATTACTTTTAACTTGTACTTCAACGGAAAACGATCTGCCAAGACAAGACATTGTTCAATTTCATCCTTTATACATGATAATGGTTACAATGATGCTGCCAGAAAAGTAGTTCCAGCAGATCTGAAAAAGAAACGGCTAATTGACAGATCTGTTGGAGGGGAAAAACACAAGAGTGCTGCAGAGTTCGTTAAACTGAGAGGTTGAAACACGCAAAACCAGTTCTACTTCAAAGTGGGTCAGGACTATTTGTTTAACACAGTAAAAACATCTGCATTTTCCAGGTTATGAAGAGAGGTACACAAATGTTTGTCTTAGAATTAAAAATTTTATCTGCTCAAGTTTTCATGACCTTTTTCACAGCAGCCATTTTGACGTGAAATAGTAGGGTAAACACAGGTGATACAAATAATACCTATGACTGTCCTATTTCATGTCAAAATGGTTGCGTGTTTTAAATTATTGTCAGAAGGATTTACAATGTATTTGCCTTCAATAATATATTGTTTTGGAAGGCAGTTTCAAAGACATTTCAAACCATTTATAGTCCTTTGGGCAGTGGACAGTAAGAGTAGTAACAACAATATTTTAGATTTTAGCAATATATATAAATACAGTTACAAGAATGATGATCCAAGTAGCTAAGACTAAATTTTTTTTTAAAAGTTTTAACAAGAATGTTTGCTAAATGAATCAACCGTATGTGTGAAACCAGTAACCACATATACAAGGCACCAAATGGGTTATAGAGCACTAAATCCTCTGCAGTGTGACTTGTTAACATGTGCACACTGAAGTAAACGCTGAAACAATATATTGTTTACAATAATAAACTCTGAATTGCAGAGTCAACAACATATCGAGAAACAATCTGGGTGGCCGGGGTAGTAGCACTATAATGGAGATGAGTGAAACACTAAATCGTGCCATTTTCCTTTCAGGCAAGCCTTGGGGACAGAGAATCAATACTCACCAGTGTACCTATGACTACAGCACCTGTCTCTCTCTCACACACAAAATCAAGCACACAAATGTTTCCTGAAAGGGAAAGAGGCGCTGGAAATCAGGGAAGAGGCCAAAGCTACAGCCACCCACGGGTGTCGAGGCAGAGAAATCATGTTAAGCATAAAGTATCACTCCCAATACACAATGTAGAAGCACAGAGGATCAGGAAGGGCCAAGGATCACAAATACAACACAAAAACTAGAGACACAAAATATTAGCTCAGCACACACACACAAATTCTGACAAAAAGATACACTAATGTAAAAAAACTATTTTACACACAGACCTTTGGACACGAGCCATCCATCTTTTACAAATTGAGCCCAGCCGTTCTGCAGAAACACCAAACTCCTTGAGGGACTTAAATGACATACTAACGAATCACACTTCAGATTTTTTTCCCCCTTCTGAAATCCAACTCCACACCTCAGTACGAATGTTTCTTTTCTCCTGGAGGCTGTCAATACATTCGAACGATGACATATAAACATATAAAAAAAAAGAAAAGAAAGACAGCTCAAGTAAAACAAAAGCCTCTCTCCACCAAAAAAAGGGGTGAGTGCCCCCCTCCCACCAGCTCCGACAGCTAAACGAAAACAGCACTGCAGAGCTCTAAACCTCCAAGAATCGCTGGTTAGCAGACAGAGATTTTGCGGTACATCTCCTCCTCAGGCGCTTTGGCGATGGTACAGAGAGTAACCTACAGCTTCTTCACCACAGCGGGGGAACAATCACATATTGTTCCCCCATGCTGGAGAACACTATTCACCGTTCCTCTACAGCACAATGGGCCAAGTCAGAGAGATGCTTTGGAACACATCGAAGGCTACGTCTGCTAAGGCCACAGCACTGGTGGGTGACACCATTTATCCAGTTTTGCCAGTGGCACTCCGACGCCATTTTGCTGTGGGCCCTTTGATGAAATCTCGCTGTAGGAACGGCAAACCTCGTTTGAAAACTGGATTTGTGCCACAGCGTTCGACAACATGACGGCTCCAAATCAACTCCGTTTTAACACAGTCTCCTTAACGATCATTAAATGCTCAAAATCCCCTGCAACTACGTATTGTCTCTTCTACATAAGAGACCATTGGAGAGAAATGTAACTGCAATAATACAATGTTTGGCCCCAACCACACAAATTAATTGCATTAATTAATGCGCAAGTATCTTCATGTCACACATTATATTACTCAAGGAAGTTAATTAAATTAGTAATTCAAGTAATAAAACTCACTGATTAAAATTGTTTTCCTCAAAGTGTAGTTACATCATGGAAATATATTGTACAGTGCACAAGTGCACAGACAGATTAAACTGTTTGGACCACTCGAGCTAAAATTGGAGGAGAGAGAAAGGAGCAAGAACAGACAGAAAGGTGAATAAATGCCAGAAACTATATACGTTTTGGGAATACCTCAAGTTAAAAAGCCCTCATGCTGCTGCAGTAGCCTTAAAAGATATTAGGTCGACATTTTGGGAAATATGAATATCTTTCTTGCTGAGACTTGGATGAGAAGATATGACTCTCACATCTGTAGGGTAAATATTAGGCTACTGGAAGCATCCAAAGACTTAGCGCAAAGAACAGAAAAGAGGGGAACCAGCTAGCTTGGCTCTGTTTGAAGGATACAAAATAAATTTATCAGCACCACTAAAGCCTAGTAAGTTACTGTTCCTGGACAATAAATAGTGTGGTTTCAACTCTAAGAAACCAAATAAGCATATTTCCAAACATGTCAATCCATTCCTTTTACAGCTGCCCGTGAAAACTTTATGATTCAAAGTCAGTCGAATGTTTTGTACTTTTATCTTTTCGTTGTGTCACTGTACACAGAGCAATGCAGAAGCGACAGCATAGCAGGTTGTGAACTTTACAAACTGAATTTCAAAATGACCACAAACCATAAAACTAACTGTGATGGAAGCGGAGAAGGGTTGTAGTTAAGGGGGGGTAGTGTGGCGCCGGATAGTGGGGCAGCAGCTGCCCCGACATCGTCTACTCTGGTCAGTGAAGTCAGCCAAACCACTTTTGAACCAGATGCTGGTACAACCTCCTCTACTGCAGTCCTCTATGATCGACTCTCGGGCCTTTATAATTGAAATATGAGCAGGAGATGCTCTTCTGAAATTCGATGTTTTCACATCACAGATATCACAGATGACAAAGAAAGGCATTCAAATGTGAGATGGCTAAAAGATGTGTCTTGTCGCATTTCAACCACAACTGCTGATAAAGGAGTTAAATGTGGCGCTGAACTGAAAAAAAGTTTGAATGGTCATCATATTGAACAGCAAAATCGAGTCAGTACAGCACTAACTCCATTAAAAGGTGTAGTGATTAACTGTGGCCAGCCCTGCTAGCTTAGCTACCATGAAGGTGACAGCTGCCTATGAGGATCAGTATCTGCCAGACTGTCAGTTTTAAGTGACACCTGCTGATCTTTAAAGTAGTATCTATCAGTGGAACTAGAGTGTCAAGCCGTTTAAGCAGCATAATGTTATGTCAATACAGCAGTGGCATTATGCCAATATAAAGCTACTGGCATACACCTTAGTATACTTAGTCAGTTTTTACAGGAGTTATTTCTTCAGTAGAAATTGGTTTCAAGTCAGTGTTCACATTAGGATCAATAACCAGGACATTGTTTCAGAAACTGCTGGTACTCTTTTTTTTTTTTTTTTTTTAATTGCCACAAACAAAATGTAATTGACCTCTTGTATTGTGACACCAAAAGTCTCAAGACAGACACTGCGTCTCAAAACCTGAGCAAACATAACCAACGTATCTGCATGGCTTGAAACCACTGAAGTAAGTGTGAAAATATTTTGAATTATTTGAGTAAACCAGCACTATAAAGCCTTACATTACAGTTAAATTACAGCTTTTTGCTAAGATTTCCCTGTTCTAGCTAAGCATAGTCGGCAATCTGCTTAAGCATCATATCCACTCTATCCCCCCCTCGTCACATACACATTATTGGCACATTATTGTCAGAGTAGTGACTTAGAAATACTATAATTGATTCAGTCAATACCGCACTGCTCTCCTCCCTAAACAACCCGGCAGAGAGCTCCCGGACAGTACTGATGAAGTCTTTTGCTGAGCTTCCACAAACAGCCCTGCGATGTGGCAGCTCATCATGCTCCAAGACGCCTTGCAGCAGCTGACGAGTCATTC